GACAATGGGAACCATTTTTTAACTGGAGACAAACGTACACTTGAGATCAAACTAGTGCACTTTTTGGCTTTGATTTCTCAATGACTTTTGTCAAGTAAGAAACTTTAAAAAGCTAACTTAACTTGAAAAATACTGAATAACTTATTACAGCAAAAATAAAGGAAGATCAATATTACAGCCTCGTGTGAGTAGTGATCAAAGAACACTGTAAATTCAATTTATACATGGAATTCAGTTTTAAAGCTCAAATATTTCTTTATTTTTCCAATTCATCTGCAACGAGTCCATCTTCACATCGAGTCCTTTCCGTACTCCAACATCTGAGTGATCTTCAAGCTACTCCTGCCTTCAATAAGACGGACCAATTGATGTAGGATGTTCCTGAAGACATCTTGAACTCAATCTCGTAATGAGGAGTCACTGAAGACGACAGACAGCCAAGCTGAAATTCCTGCCTGGACAAGAGAAATGAAGCAAATTGAAGCACTCTCAAATCTGAAGACAATTTGTTTTCAACGAACTCCACCATTTTGATTGCCTTGGGAGATGTGCATTTGATCAAAGATTTTACTTTGCCCATAAACTTGGCAAGTGTCTGCTAGCAATGAAATGGTTGACTTTTCAATGAATTCTAGCACAATTGACTTTAAAACACCTCGGCTAGATAGTTTTAAAAAAAAATTTAAAGTTGCCCTTACAAATCCTTAAAATGGAACATAAGACTCTTACAGTGAATTCCATTTCATCAAATCACCAACAAGATTGATGAGTGAACTTCAGCATGAACTCCAACTTTCAAGATTGATTTGTACCAAGACGTGCTGGTAATATTTTGTAAAATGAAAAAAAAGTTTGGTTTTGAAGTGTTTGGTGCACTCCTGGTGTGTTTAAAGATTCTTATACTGAGGTAAAAACTTGCTCCAATTTCTGAGACAACCTCTACTAGTTTCCAATGCCTTCCCCTAAGCCATAAATAACTCCTAGCAATTGCTAGTGCATACACAGTCCTTGTGGCATAAACTGTGTTAGAAACTTTCAGTATCATTAATTCTAACTGGGTATGTAAACACTGTGCGCACAAGTCCTTACACAATTCTTTCAACTTCAACTGAAATTGGAGAATTTTTCGACCTCATCTGTACTCGAACATTTACTTCCAAGATGAGACTTTGCCAGCTGATGTTCCACAACCTTTCAGAAATGTTTCGTTCATAAATCAGTCTTGCCGTGTCAAAGTTTGATTATTTGTAAGGTGCCCACAAGGAAAATCATGGAAAAATATTTGTGCTTTGAATCTCATTGCCCCAAATTGTTAATAGAATATTTGAGAAGTTATTGGAGAGAATGAACTTCTGACAAATTCGTAATTCATAGCCTTGTTATAGCTTGTTTTCCAAACAGCTTAGAGTGTACCTTGACTCCAAAGTAAAAACCATGTCATGCGCCCAAAACTCGAAAACAAAATAAAAATAGCACAACAGATAGCTTGCCTTGACATCAACTGGCAATTTCTCAACTAAGTGGTCAACCAAGGATATTTGTAACCTGTTACTGAAATGGCGAGTCTATTTGTTGACGAACATGCCAAAAAAAATCCAAAGCATTTTGAAATGAAAATAATTGCTGCCAAACTCTTCATGCAAATTCAAATCAGGAGTCTTCAAAATACTTCACTATTTTATCAAATGCGCTTGCAAGTTGCATAGTACCATTTCAACATGTGTATTGACAATAAGTTGTCTTTTCGACAATTGATTAGTCAACAAGTAATTTCAAAGATGAATACAAGGTGATTTAATAATTCAGACTCGTTGAAGGTAACAGGTTACAAAATTGAAGGTATTGCTTCTTACCTTATATAAGTGACCTTTGGCCAATGAAGCTTGCGTCTACGTTATTGTGTAGCGACTGGCTCTGTTATTCCTGCAAAAAAATTGACAATTACTATCAAATCCATTCAGGCGCGTAAGAACAAAAGCTGACAACATCCCAGGTTCAGGCATCTCGATGGTAAACCTAGAACAGTCCCCATTTTGGTTCAAAGGTCACAGATTAAGGTAGGCAATGATACCTTTCATGGCTACAGTGAATCTCGATATGCGTCCTATGGCCTAACCTTGGGTAATTTGTATATGATCTACATGTACATGCGGATGTATACAAATTACAAAGGGTGTGGCCATAGATATGCATATTCATGATGCAATGTAACCACTTTAGAGAGCCAGAAATATGTGCATAGTAGGGGAACTACAAAGGTTTCTGGAGTTGAACTTTGACACTGCAGAAACGTTTGCTGTTGCCCTTCCAAGGCCATGCATTAATTTCTGGGTCAATCCTCCAAAGAATTATCCTTGGTTGACTACTTTCTCGATGACTTTTCCCTCCTTGCATGGATCAGGGGAGTTTTTTTTTTAATACTGTGAGAAATAAAGACAAGGGACATCTTATTCAAATTTTCCGTGTGAATTTATTCTAGGGGACCCCTATTACTTTTTTTTCCAAAAAAAAAAAAGCAGTATTGTGCTAAACATGTTGCTGGCCGGCACCCTCTACTGTCTGGGGCATGTGGCAGCCTTGGCCTAGGTACTGCTGTTGATATACCTATTGTTCAGGGAAATCCACCGACATGTCGCTGGCACTCTGCACCTCTGGTATCCTGCACTACATAATTAAAATGCATTTCACTTCATTAAGCAAGCAAACAATGGCCAAAACAAAGCTCAGAAAGGATTCACTGTTGCCAACCTAATTTTTGCTGAGTCTGTATGGGGTGTTTCAATGACATCATGCCCTGTTCGGGCAACCAGGCTGCAAAATTTTGGAATGTGTTTTGGGAGTTAATATTTTAAAAAAAGGATTAATGAGAAAGCTCTTTTGAATTGGACTTTTCTACTTCATCTCCAGTGGAGTCCTGGACCACCAAAATGACAATCACCTCAGCCTAGATGATGACGTGTGAATCAGAAAAACACATTCTAACATGGCTGGCTACTTTACAATTTGACTACGTTTTGGAGAAAAATTATCCTTAAAAACCTCACTCTCTCAACAAGTTGTTCCATTAAATTAAATGTACTGCAGTGCAGTTCTGGTAGATAATTCTGTTTGCACTTGTGATGAAAGAACCACACAATCTATGAGAATTTCACTGAGTAACATTTCCAAAATTTGACTGCAATTTTGTTTTTTAAAAAAACAAACCCCACAAGAACAAATTCCATTTTTAGACAGTGAAACTGACAAATAACAGTGTGTGATCAACAGAAAAAGCTGAGTGGTTCAGGTTTCCTTCCTTACCAGAAGTCTGGCAAAGCCTCTTAGGAGATACTGTAGATGACATTGGATTTGTTAATGGTCTACTCCTACAACAAATATTCCACATTTATTCCTATCATTTTTATATTCCTATCATCATATTATAAATTCAGAGCCACAAAGCAAAATATTGATCCTCGGGATAAACAGTCACATTTCACTAAACTAACTAAATTGTTAACTTTTCATAATCTTCCTTAAACTAAGATTACAATCACTTTAAACACCCTGATGTACCAAATCCAATGAATTCAATCCAATGTGCTTCAGACTAAACCTAAAGCATTAGTAACACCTGTTAATATTCTGCTTACATTGTTTGACAGCTAAACATGTATCTGATACTGCAAACTCAACAATAAATTGCACTTTGCCTCTGACCTCCTTAATACTAGAAAAAAGAAACACATTTTCTTTAACTTAAACTTGTGTAATAACACTTTATGACAAGTGAGTAGCATTCCTGGAAATCTGGCCAAATGACCACGTTCAAACATCTCCAATGTTAATTGTCACATACATCTACCTAACTTCCTCTAATAGATATGATTGTTAATGTTAATATTAAATATAAACATTCCTTTCTATAAGATGATCTAAGTTTTATCGTTAAACATTTTCAAAACATTGTTTGTTTAAGGCTACTTCTACTTGACTAAAGGCTCATTTATTCTACTTTGATTGTAACTTTTTAGAATGTTTACATTTTGAGGATGCCCCTATAAATTACCTACAAACCCTGATGAAAGTTTATTGTAAATTTAAACTCCACATTCTTCCTGACAACATTAACTTATCTGGTTACCAATCTTTGATGTTTCATGCGCCTTTTATTTTTATCTTGTATTCGCTGAGGGACAGGTGTTGTCGTTGTTAGTAACGCTGAATACTCCAGTAGACATAAACAAATCATCAATCTTATCATTTGACTATCCTCAGGAAAATTAAACAGTAATAGAAAACCACCTCACCTTGTAGTCCTAATCATAAACTATGAAGTTTAACTCTCTAGAAGAATTTCATTACTATTTGAATCCTGAAACAGAACTCCAATTATTTTTAAAAGGTTTTGAGGTTTACATAAACTGAATTAAACCTTCATTTTATAAACTATCCTATCAAAATTGCTTTTTTGAAATCAAGTTTTTCTTGTCCAGTTTGACATGGAAATAACGAGGCACTTCTTTATCTTTCTTAAATTTACTTGTGGTGAACCAAATTGACACTTTTAAACATTATGTTAGATGACCCTTTGTTGCTAATCCAGACCTATCAGTACCATTTCCTACTCACAATAAACTTTTATACTGTCTACTCAGTTTTACTCCTTTCTTTAGCAATCCCAATGTCATCTTTGATACCACCTTTAAGAAAAAATTACCTCCAAACACAAATGAAACCAAAACTGAAATAATTTTGCAGAAGTTAGGTAAAGTTGAGCAGCCATATTTGAATGTCTTTCCTCCAAGTCTCACACCAACACCTGAGAAGAAGCCACTATCATTCATCAGGTCTAGAGCCCCCTCAGATCAGAAGCAGATGTCCTCTTTTGATAAAGGTTTGGTCATCATGACCCTGCCAAAAAAGCAACCTGTTTACACAGGAACAAAGAGTGACGGGTACAAACTTAGGACAACAAAATGATCGAAAAAATGGTGAAAAAAAGTGCAATGGTCCTCAGTCCGTCACACCCAGCCATACAGGGACTCCAAAGACTTAAGTAAGCAACAGGAATCCTTTCTTTCCTATTCTTGAGAGTTTGAGATTTTTGGGTGAAATAGCGTGTCAATTATGTGGGGCAGGACACCGGTGGGTTAGAGCAACAACGACACATACAGTCGATTTCACTAAACAATAGGTATATCAACCACAGTACCTGGGCAACAGACTGCCACACGCCCCAGACAGTAAAGGGCACAGACCAGCAAACGCATGTTTAGCACAACACTGCTGCTTGTACATGCATGTAGAATGGGATTTCATAAATGACACAAAAAGACATTTTGGAAACATTTGGTAAGTAGGATAATGTGAGAACCACTCCTTTGACACGAGCCATTCTGAAAAAAATACTGAAACATAGTTTCTGTAAATACACACTGTTGATGAATAAAACAAATAAATATATGTAAATTGAACAAATTTTCAAAACTACACCAAATGATGCATGAACTGCAGAAAAGTGGACAATGATTTCTAAATTTCAAGGTTTCAGATTCTACTAGAATTGCTGTACTTAAATTTCATTTTGGAATTTCACAAAGTGTTTGTCTCAGGGTCTGTGTCTCAGATTCAATTTGTGGGAGTGATTCTCATAAATATGCAATAACAAACATCCAAAGGTATGGTTCAAATCATCAAGCACCATCAATTCGTAGCTGATCAGAACACAGCTCTTAGAGCTGGAATCTTACGCACAATCAGCAAACCCACGTTGATCTGTTTGAGACTTGAATGCAATGGTTTTGCTATTGTCTTTGAGTCTATGAAATGGCTAAATTCATAAGCAGTGCACATCTGTGTTAAAATGTACCCAAAAAGTCACTGTTCTCTAAATTGTGATATTTCAAAATTCCAGATTTTTAAAAAGGAAGACTTATAAAAATGTCTTATAAATATCATAATATTATCTTAGAAATTGAAATCTTGAACCATACCTTTGATCATATCCCATGAGATGGATCCATGGGGATGTGTTTGGAAAATTCACAAACAGAAAAGACAAAAAAAGCAACATTACACACCAGAAATGGATAATCATCATATCCTCACACAGGAGGGACAAAATTGGAAACATCCCTACATCAGGGAAGGGACAAAGTTGGAAACGTCCAAACACTGGGGCAGGTACAAAGTTGGACACATCCCCACACCAGGGCAGGGACAAAGTTGGACACATCCCCACACCAGGGCAAGGACAAAGTTGGACACATCCCCACACCAGGGCAGGGACAAAAAACCTGTGTAGGGGTGTGGTCCCGTTCCTGTTTCAACCTTTGTAGGGATGTAGACCCTTCCTTGCTTCAACCTTTGTAGGGGTGTGGTCCCCTCCCTGTTTCAACCTGTGTAGGGCACACCAGGGCAGGGACAAAATTGGACACATCCCCACACCAGGGCAAGGACAAAGTTGCAGACATCCCTGAATAAGGGAAGGGACAAAGTTGGAGACATCCCCACACCAGGGGAGGGACAAAGTTGGAGACATCCCCACACCAGGGCTGGGACAAAGTTGGACACATCCCCACACCAGGGCAGGGACAAAGTTGGAAACGTCCCCACACTAGGGCAGGGGCAAAGTCGGACACAATCCTACACCAGGGAAGGGGCAAACTTTGGGGCAAATCTAAAACAAAACTCTGAGTACATCTATTTCACTTTGAAAGTTGGAAACAACCCCACACTAGGGCAGGGACAAAATTGAAAACATGCACCCATTAGGGGAGGGGCAAAGTTGGAGACATGTACCCCCACACTAGGAAAGGAGCAAAGTTGGAGACATCCCCGGAATAAGGGAACAATGAAGTATCATACACAAGAAAAGGCCAAAGAATGTATGCCATATCCGAACACAAGAGATAAAGAGACCATTGACGGAGCACAACATGGATCCATCTCATTTTGGTCTGTATACCGTTTCAGAATATTGTCAACATTTAACTTGAAACTTATAAACTTTGTACAACTTTATTTTTTTTGGGGGGGGGATATTGATGCAATGATTCTGAGTTATATGATCTACATAATTCTTGCAATGCCACTGGATTCATTTGAGTTTTCTGTAACACTTTATGATTTTCCAAGAATGAAAAACACAATAATATCCCATATATCACTAGCAATAAGAAGAAACAAATTTATCCTCAAGCAAACTTGACAAACAGTGTTCAGGCAAATACCAGCACCACTGAGTTACAGGTAAATGCAAGGCAGCATTAACGATTTGAGTTAATTTGCTTGAAGATAAGACATTACAGACATTTACACATCAGAGCTTACAAAACAATAGCTTAAAAACCTATCCAAGTTTTCTTACTCCTTTCCTTATGAAGTTATTTTGTTTTTGCAATCAATGGGACTAGATTTTGTATTTAGCATTTCATAAATAAAAACAACTGCTCTGGAGGAAATTTGGATACTCATCAGACTAATGACATTTGGAAATGATCCAAAATGTTGGAAGAGTGCATATATACCTTGTTGTGATTTTTTCTCTGTCATCATCTCAAGATGGGCAACTTTCCTGTTCTAACGCTTGGAGTAAAAAACTTGGAAAGCTCACAAAGGCTACAAAAATATCCAAGTTGACATCATAATGACCTTTCAAAATCACTCAAATCTGAAATGTTCTCTTTCAGAACAAACTTTCAAAAATCCTCCTGTTTTTGCTTTTTGATACTGGTCAAACATGTAACCATACACATGTTTTTGAATGAAAAAAAAAATAACCTGAAAATTTTTCAAAATATATCTCTTTAATTTAAGGAAAGGTCGATGATAAACAAGGATATTTTGACACCTTAAAAACTGCAAATGTACAAATGATTCTTTTTTTACATTTCTGATGAAAACGAACGGCTGGACTTGAAATCCCTGGAGGCAGAGCTGTTGTCATGGTAATGAAGGATGTTGCTGTTTATCAAGCTGTTTACCTGCAATGATGGCGAGAAGAAAATAAACTTACAAGTAAGAAATGCATCACAGGAAACAAATCTAAAACAAAACTCTGAGTACATCTATTTCACTTTGGAAGTCTGTGCCAAGTTAATACTAATACATGAGGCTCAATTATTCCACAATTAAGCAATTACCTATAGTTGCAATCAAAAGAAACAGACTAGCTATTATCTGTTCATTTTTAATACCCATCACATTCACAAATCACTCATTGTGGGATTTATTTGTTTCAAATTTTTCAAAAGACACCAGTATTGTGATGAGCATAATGAAGCTGTAACTTGAAAATATTGCTTTAATTCAAACCAGTGAATCAGAAAGTATCCAATGACCAATGTTTGAGCAACAACCTCCTGTCTGAATGACTTCTTTATTACGTCCCAGAAAATCTACACATACTGGTCCAAGGTTAACTCCAAGACTTTGTCTTACCGTAGGTCTACGTATGTATACAACACTATAAGCATGGACACTGGATATGGGAGCCTCAGTCATGGGACTTTTGGTATGAACAATTTGCCAAGAGGTCATTCAGGGTCTTTAATGACACAAAGTAACTTGGACTAATTTTAACAACTGAAACTAGACACAAGAGACTGGATAACTTGGACCAAGCTTTGTTATATGCATTTCATCTTTCAAAGGAGTGATTTAAGTCCTGAAGCCCCACATTTTAATTGAAAAAAAATTCACATACATGTATGCTAGAGGTTGGAGTTGGTTTAAAAAGAATACTACCTTGTAATAAAACTATGTTGAACTCACCTTGCAGGAAATGGCTGGTTGTATTTGTCTTCAAGGTGTTTTCTTGAACAGGTCAGGATGACAAGGGTCAAAGGTACCACAAAACATGTCATTTTGTGGGGGATTTACCTAAAAGGAAATTGCCAAGGAATTTTAGCAAAACGGATGCACACAGTGGAACCAAGAAAAACGTTTTACTTTCAAGAAAACATAAACAACTTGTAACTACTATCAATCCACTGGCACAGCTTTATGTATGATTAATATTGTGAGGTTCTCAATTTCTTTGATGATCTATTTCCATTTACATGTACAGTGGAGAACTATTCAAT